AAAGGCTTGTGCCCAACACCCCTCCCAGCACATTAATGTGTTGTCCAGGGGCCCAGAATTCCTGTGGGTGCATCAGGTTCAGTAAGAGGAGCTGGGAACCTGACGGGCCCTTTCCACGCGGGTTAGACCCATAGTGACACCGGGGGAGTTTTGAAGGACGGTCCAGAGCATCAGTGCCCGGTACCCAGCAAACCGCGGAAATGTTCTTGTGCCCAACACCCCTCCCAGCACATTAATGTGTTGTCCAGGGGCCCAGAATTCCTGTGGGTGCATCAGGTTCAGTAAGAGGAGCTGGGAACCTGACGGGCCCTTTCCACGCGGGTTAGACCCATAGTGACACCGGGGGAGTTTTGAAGGACGGTCCAGAGCATCAGTGCCCGGTACCCAGCAAACCGCGGAAATGTTCAACCCCCAGCGGCCCGAGCGGCTGCTTTTGCTTTTCCTGTTTTCTTCCCTCACCCTGGGGCTGAGGTGGACGTGGGGATGTCGGGCCCTCGCTAGGAAGCAGCTTCGGAAATCCAGGTTCTAGTTACTGCACCTCGAAGAAACGGGCACAGGATCATTGTTGTATTTACATTTCTATCACTGTTGTATTTAGAGACTTGAAGCCTGATGAGAGAGATTGTGTTTACACTGCAGTTGTAGATCCCGTTGCTGCGCCCGGCGCGGGATTCCCCGTGGAAGTGCTGCCCCCGCGCGGCGCAAGGTAGAAGAATAATTCTGCCGCCTGAGTTTCTGTATCAGCCTTTCCAGTAATAGCAGACGGTGTCCTCCGGCTTCAGGCCGGTCAGTTGCAGGTGCAGGAGGCTGCTGGGGGGCTCTCTGGAGATGGTGAATCGCCCTTTGACCGAGTCGCTGTAGTATGTGCTCGAGCTCGAGCTGTAAATGTTGGCCCACCAGACCCAGTTCATCCAGTAGCTGCTGAAGGTGAAGCTGGAGACTTTGTAGGAGAGGCGCAGAGAGTCTCGGGCTTCTTCTCATCCGTGACGTCAGAGCGCTCCATCCTTCACTCCCCTGCGACCCAGGCCGGGCTGTTTGGCGCGTGTCTCTGCTGCCCCCGTGCGGCAGACGCGGGAAGTTCCGCAGCTCTGGCTTGTGCACGAGCCGCCGCAGGGTTGGTGTCACTGTGTGTCTATCACAGGAAAAGCGGGCAGCAGGTTGTTGGGACCGGGCACTTGCAAATAAGGGGTGTGAGAAGAACCGGTATAAAACCAGCGGCAATTATCTGAGCTTCTGGCTCTGCCATTTGATCAGGGGCACAAAATACTTTCCAAAACCCAAAGTCTCGTTGTCACTGGTGCTGGCGGGGAAAGTTCTCCGGGGACTGGCTGGTCACTGCGCAGACACAGGGGCTGCGGATTGTCCCTCCTTGTTCTGGCTGCAGGATCCACGCAGGTAAGTGGAGTTAGGTGGCCTTTTCCTTGTCCCCATGTTTCTTAGGTGCCTCCTTCTGAGTCTTGAGAGGATAAAACTGCCGGATCTTTTGCCAACATTTGCCTTGCTTGGCACCTGCACAACTATCTGATCCCTCAAGAGATGTTGGGAAAGGTGGGAAGAGCAGACACGATTGACCAGGCAACACTGGGAGCTGCATCCCTCCCCTACACCTCACCTGGCAGGTGCCTTGGCCAGCTTAGCCCTAAGGCAGCCCTCAGAGACTTTTTCCCCACCTGCTCCCTGTGC